CTCTCTCTCTCTCTCTCTCTCTCTCTCTCTCTCTCTCTCTCTCTCTCTCTCTCTCTCTCTCTCTCTCTCTCAGGCTGAGCCACGGGCCTTAACAACCGGCAGGTACTGGTGGTTTAACCTCAATCTATGAATCTGCAGTGTGAAAGTCTGCAATGTTATCTAGTAGGCAAGCTCCTACTTTGGAAGAAGTAGGAATAACTCTTCTATATGAAAAGATTAATCCCAGTGGTCCGGCAGTCTATGGCCTTAACCATTCCTTCTCAGTGCGGGTGTATCCCTCCTATGCAATAGCTGCGTACCCATCGCGACCATTCTTTCCTAGCCATTTAGGCGTCGAATAGCAGCCGCACGCCCTTATTTTTCAGTCAGATAGATTAAAATTTTGTCGTAATTGCGGTTGTGTGTCAGCACACAACTGGTCAACGCGACGACCCTCCACTCCTACATCATGTTGCCGCCGAGATGTGTGAGTCCTCAACAACTTTTACAGCATCCACGCTGTGATTGTAAATTCATAATGCTATTGCACCTGACTTTTCGAGCATCCGCCGACACCATCATTTGGCGTTGACCGTTTAGACACCCCGCGGTAATCTTTTTTTTTTTTTTTTTTGAAAGGCCTGTGCAGATCTGCTACGGAAGGTGATAAGAGCAACCTTCCCTAGCAGCCTGCTGGTAGCCGCTCCATCTATTGGTGGGGAGCTTCACCTGGTAATTTAAAAATTACCGCACTGTTTTTCTTTTCTTGCTGGAGCCACTAGCCGTTTTGGTCTGGCGGCAGTGTTCATATGAAGAACCCGGATTGATCCAAACCAAGGATACCAGACTGGCCCGGGACCACTTGCCCGGCTGGGCCAAAAAGAAAAGAGAGAAAGATATAAAAAATAAATAATATGTTACGATCCTGGCCAATTCCTAAGTGCAAAATTCACGAGAAAGCACAATGTCATCCAATTGCAAAAGAAATGAATCAACTTGAAAGAAGGGTGAGATAGAGAAGAAGAAGAAGAAGAACTAGAAGATGTACACCAGCGCAAGACCAATGATAATTTCCCCTCCTCGCTCGTATTCAAACAATAAAAAACAATTATAGTGATGAATGGCAGAACCATGGTCAATGTCCGATTCCGACTTCTACTGCTTGGCATCAACTGAGGTCCAACATAGCCACGGCCTCCTTCTTCCTCCTCTTCAACCAGGCCGAGGCTATGGAGGACTGCTAAGGGCCTAGCCCTACTGTGCAAAAGACCACGCAAAGCAGCTATGTCCGCTGCTGCTCAGGCCGCCATGCCTGACTCTGCCTCGAAGCCTTCTTGGTGCGGCGCAACCCCTACTGGGGCCTTCCAGATGGAGTGCCTAACAAGGTGATGAAGATGGTGTCCACCATAGCCAGGTAGGTACCTCGGCACTCTCCTCCCTAGTCCCCTTTTTCTTCCTCCTCCTACCGGTAGAGCTCCACCATATCTCCCGCCCTTCCTCCTTCTCCCGTCGCTGCTCCTACCAGCACTCCACTTCCTTCAGCGCCCAGAATGCTGGCGCTTGCTCAAGCAGCATGCCGCCGAAACTTGCATACCGCAAATGAGGTGGAGCCCGGCGCTCTGCCCGAAGATATAGCGGCCTACCTGCCTCTTGGGCGGTGACTTCCAGGCCGCGCGGCCTCCAAGCAATCGGTACCTCCTCCCTTTCGGAGGGAACATCATTGCATGCTCTGATATCGTCCCTAGACTCAGGCTACTGGGACTGGTACCCGCCTAGACCTAGACCACCAACTGCTGGGCCTCTAAAAACGTCAACTTTTGTCTTCTTCTGCTCGGCCTTCAGTTCCCGACACATATACCGCTACTTGAGTGGTACCGACCTACCTACTACTTGAGTGTTTTTCCCGCTGCCCTACATGTCGGGGGCCTACTCCCGCCACTTGGAGTGTTTTGCCCGCTCCAACCCTGAAAGTCACGGCCACAGGTAAGTACCGGCCCTGCGGGGCCTCGAAACAAACAAGTGCCCTTGCGGGTCACACACTCACTCAAACCGACAAGCACTCAGCGAGCAAGCACACACACAGACTTAGAAAACTCAGAAGAAAGGGGGAATCTCAGCAACACATTCATTCCAGCGGCAAAACTCAGAAATCAGCAGTGTTCTCAGTCTGTGTTCTGACAGATCATTACATATATAGCCTCCTGATGAGTCGGTGAAACTCCGACGAAACAGTTTGTCACAGCCCCTCGTTTGTTGTCCTCTTCTCCCTCTCTGCCTACGGTTTACCGGGCAGTTCTATTTGACGATATATATAATATGTATATACTCATTTTTAGTTTTAATTTTAATGTTTGATTTGGTACATATTTCCTCCCCTCCTCCYCCCCCCCCCCCCCCCCCGCCGAAGACTATGCTATATTCTTCTCTCAAATCTTTCATATCTTTCATCATCTCTCAAATTCTTTTGATTCACCTTCACCACCTACCTACCACTACTCCCAAAGTTGTTCAGTTTATTTTTTTGCATAACATTATTAAGTAATATTAACATAGTTTTTTTTTTTTTTTTTTTTTTTTTTTTTTTTGCACGGACCTTCCTAACCCTTGCCTGGCCAGGCGGCTGGGGCAGCCAATGTGACCTGCGGTGCCCTGTTGGAAGCCCAGACGCGAATTCGTTTCTCAAGTTTCCCTGGGGAAGGTCCTCGCGGTCTAATTACTTAAGACAAAGCTACAAACTACCATTACTGAAATCGGGTGGATTGGCAGGGGGGAAAAAAAAAAAAAAAAAAAAAAAGAAGCCATGTCGCTGCGGCACTCAAGACCCGGTGGGCAAGCGGTACTGAAATCGGGTGGCAAGGCACTCAACACAGTAGTACAAGGCAGCACATGCCAAGACACGTGGGTGGGCACCTAGGCAGGGTCCTGCCTATTATCGTGGACACAGCAAGGCACACACGAGCGGTTATTGGGGACCCCCGCTTTTCGCCTCGTGGGTTAACGGGTCCCAAAACTGAAAGCCGTAGAGTTATAACTTATAAAGGGCGTGAGAAATTGTCCAAAAAAATTAGGCCTCCTGCCCTACAGCTCACAGTTAGGGTTACTCCCGCTGTTTACTGGGGCTTCCATTTGAAGCTTATGTCTTTTTTTTTTTTTTTTTCCAACAGAAAATTCATGAGAATGAGATGGAATTTGGAAATTGAGGTACGGGGCCCATTACCCGGCTTTGGCTCGAAAAAATTGGAGCTACTTCAGACATGTCTAGGGCTTTTTTTTTTTTTTTTTTTTTTTTTTTTCGGACAAACGGGCCCTGTGCCCAGGCTGATATTATCAAAAAGAGATTGAAGACATGTCTAGGGCAATCTTTATGATTAAGCGAAATTGTGAAACAACTCAGAAAACCCCCGATCAATCCACGGCAAGACTGACTCACTTCTCCTTTCCACTTTTTTTCGGGCACCCGGCAGGTGTAAGACTCTATACATTGGGCCTCACTGCACTACTCTTGACATGCATAAAAGAGAAAAAAACATGGCGGTGTATGTATTACCACTTGGCAGAGTCACAATTGTGTTTTTTTATAAACAGTCGCTACCCCGTGTTATGTGCCACTTTGGTCTGTTTTTTGCAAAGAAAAGCACTCCTCGCAAAGTTCTGGACCCGTTTTCCAGCAGGTGCAGCTCCCCACCAATAGACTGGGAGCATCGAGGATTCTCGCAAAAAAAAAACAAAAACAAAGAAGTTATGTCGACCATCTCGCAAGGTGCATAGCAACACAGAAATCCATGGATGCAGCAGCACGGACGGCGACACAGCAAGGCGGCACTCAACACAGCAACACCAGGCAGCACCTGGCAAGGCACGTGGGTGGGCAGCCGCACAGGTCCACAGGGTCCTACCTACCTACCTACCTATGGACACAGCAAGGAACATAACAACACAGCAGCCCATTGACGCAGCATGATGGATATAAACCGCCAGGGTGGGGCTAGCCAATAAAGAAACAAAGTGCACCCATTGACGCAGCATGGATATAAAACGCCAGTACCTACGGTTCCCGCGCAGGTCCACAGGGTCCTACCTACCTACGGTCCCAGCCTTGCAGGGAAATCCACTTGTCCCCACCGCGCACTGTAGCAACGGCTTGCCCTCCCGGCTCACAATCATGGCTGGTGGGGCTACCTTCTTCCCCCAAATACAACGTACGGTCATTATAGCTGTGTATTTAGACTGAAAGATACCCCAAATACATACAGCTATAATGACCGTATGTTGTATTCGGGGGAAGAAGGTAGCCAATAAAGAAACAAAGTGCATCGCTGGCAGTTCAGAATAGCCCCGCGCACAGTAAGACATCGCCACGCCCGGGCATACGGGTGGTGGTGGTAAAAGCACTAGTACCTTTGTCGGTTTGGAAAATAGCGGGCCGCCTCCGACCTTTCAGGAGGCGGAAACGAAATGAAATGACGGCGGCCGATCAGATTTATCAACGGCAGCGGGCGGCCATTGTCGGGCCCGGCCTCCTTAACGTTCGGGACTAGGCTAAAACTTGTCGAAACCAGACGGCAAAGGTACGAGTGGCTTACGCGAATGCATCATTATGATATGGGTTTCCGTGTTGTTGCTCCGCGCCCTGCTGTGTCCGTGTCCGTCTTAACCATCGTAGGTGACCCAGCTTCGAGTCATAACCCGGGTTCAAACCCAGCAGTGCACAAAGCAGATCGGAGCATCGAGTCTTAACCCGGGGTTCAGACCCGGCGGGGCGCAAAGCAGATCGGGGCGAATTATTATAACTTTTTATAGCCTGATCACATCATATGGAAAGCCCAGTAGATTGTAGGTGCACTCCACACCACCATCAGGATGCAGAAAGCCACCGGACGAAACACAAATGTCTGTCACCAGAAAATGCAGAAGCACGGACATGCCGATCAGAACAACAGCCCTCGCCAATAATTTTCCAGGCGCTGTACTGACAGTGCACCGTCTATCCGGCACAGCTTTAAGGTTTTGCTTAGACATCACAGAGAAGTTCAGCAAAAGACCAGGGAACGCACAAAATGGAAGATAGAAAGGAAACACTTTGAAGAAAAGAAATTTTCTATATCAATATGTGTGTGTGTGTGTGTGTGTGTGTGTGTGTGT